TTTTAGTACTTTTTAGCTGGAAATTAAAAAAAAAAAAAATACTGCAGTATGTTTTACAAGAAAATAAACATATTTCAGTCTTTCTACTTCAAGGTTTCATTCATGTCTTGGTAATTATTTGTGAAATTAAACATTTTTTTTCAGTGTAGTTGCCAAAGCAACATTTCTCATTTTCATGTAAGTTTTTCATATATTTATATTATAATTACATATTTTTCAGCTTTATTTCAATTACCCAAAATATTTTTTTGCTTGTTTTAGCTTTAGTAAGCCACTACTGATGTAAAATGAATAGACCATGAAATAAATGGAGAAATTAGTAATTAGAAATTATTTGCTATAAGCATCATAATAATTGCTGTTAAGTGTTCATCGTCTGTTTGATTACGTCTTTAATTGATTTTTCCGTACATTTCTGCCATATGTACATTGACTGACAGTCACCACTGATAAGCTACCACTAAATATTGTAGAAACTTAATTTGCTGTAAAGTTGCTTTGCAACAATTTGTATCGTGAAAAGCGCTGTACAAATAAACTTGAATTGAATTGAAATGAGTTATATTACCTGTTCCTGGCCCTTCCTCTGCACTAACAGTGCTCTCTAAAACCTCAACACACTTTTGATGTTATATGCTAGTTGTGGCACATTGTTGTCTCTTTTGAAATGTATTATGCACTTAGTGTGTTCATTTTTGTAAATGCAATTTTTCAGCTGGGATTTCTCATATTTGCAATGTAATTTCTCATTATTTGGACATTACATCTCAGAAATGTGAAATAGGTGGCCCGGAATATGTGGCTTTGGAAAAGATTAAATTGTAAAATGTGAAGTGTGAACCATTACTGTTTAGGTTCTGTGCGCAAAATGATACAGTCAATATGTCATAAGAAAGTATTTTTTAAGAAAAAAAGAGAGCCTCAACAAACCTTATTGGTAAGCACTTTAATTTAGATTTAGAGGTGTTTACATCTAAACAGCAAATTTATTGTCAGCTTCTAAAAGTTCACATATAATTAAAAAGCAAGAATATACAACGCTACATTACACTGTAGTGTTGAATAATACACTAATAATTTTGTGCTTAAAAAAATAGTAACCTATATGAGTTTCAATATATTTAAAATATTTTTTTTAAATAAAAGGAAGACAAGATCTACACAAACAGTCAGGTTCATCTACAGAATGGATCTGTACAGCAGAGCAATTCCTATTATCCTACTGGCCAACAAAACAAAAAAAAACAAATGATAAAATAATTGGAAAAAAATGAAGAAGAGTTCCTGCCGCAATAACCTCCGTGTCAACAATACTTAACAAAACATCATTTTTAAAACTGTATCAGTGCGTGTGTGTCTGGACTAAATTCATTCTCCTTTTAAATGGGCAATAAATAATCAGGAAATCCTTTTTATTTAAAAATAAAATATTTTGTAAACATGATTTGGACACTTCTTAAAACTGAAATAGCTGGACCTCATTTTTACAGAAGGTGATAGGATTAAAAACAAGATTGTAAAAGATAATAGATCACAGTTTTTTCTGTAAATCAATAGTGAAATATGAAACGCTTACATTCTATCTAAAAAAAATGGATCCTATCTTCTTCTATTCTTCTCTATGACTTCTCAAACAGTGAGGACCACAAAGTAAGGGGGAATCTGTAACCCCGTCTTGAATAAAGAAGGTCAAAGCCAAAGTTATGAATAATAGAAAAAAAAACCTTGTGCCTTAAAGTTTCTAACATTTAGAACGTTCCAAAGAGTCAAACTAAGAGAAAAATTACAGCAGCCTATACAAACATACACAATAAGATCCAGGCTCAGGCCTTCTTGCAGTACTTCTGTCTGCCCCGCTATGCGCAGTAACTAACACTTACTGTAGTATTACTGTATTTATTAGTCACATCATTAATACTATTATTTTTTTTTACTTTGTTACACTTCCCTGAAAGGAAATAAAGTTTATCATATGAAGTAAAAACAGAAAAAAGGCCATTCAGAGAGTAGAGAGAGGAATATCTGCCATTGGCACAAGTAACATCCTCTAATAAGTCCTTCATCGCCTCTCTGTCTTGGCACATGGGTCCCCTAAAGTCCAGGACAAATACTGCATCTGTCCCCCAGAGGTCGCCCGTCCCACACGATAGTGGGCGGACAACTGAGAAACGGTCTGTTTGGTTTTTTTTCTGAATGCTCCAGGCGTCCCTGTGCATCTGAAGAAGTACATTCATAGTAAAAGCAGTCTGAAGGGAGCTCTGACACACTGATGCTCCTCAAAAAAACAAAAAAACAAAAACAAAACAGTAATTTCTTCCCAGTATCCACCGGCCTTTAAGTGCTTCATTTTCCAGTTAAAAGATGCAATTAAGGACGATGGAATCTAGAAATGACACAAAACCACATAAAAATGTAAATACACGGTTAGATGCTTTGCACAAGAAGTTTTCTGTATTTTTATATGTTTAACAGTACACTTACCTTGTGTAAATTCTGCTTTCCACATGCACTTCCATCTCAGAGCTTTTAAACTCGTTGAGCTCTTTACGAATAGCAGCCTAAACAAACAGGTTACAGATGGTTGATTATGTGTAGAGCAGATATAATAATAATAATAATTAATAATAATAATTCATGCATTTAGCAGACGCTTTTATCCAAAGCGACTTACAGTGCATTTAGGCTATACATTTTTTTACAAGTATGATATAGATATAGATCAATAAGCGAGACATTTAAAAGAAATCAGTGTCTTTTGAGACTATAATCTCAAGTACTTAAGTCAAATGTTATATAAAGATCTCTAGATCTTTATATAGCCACAAATGTGTGTGTGGTTGCAAATTTTTTTTTCTGTAGATGTACCTTGTCTGCGGGACTGAGTTTGGTCCATGGCTTGTCAGCACGGCGGTCATAGTCCTGAGCGCATGTGACCTCCACGTACTCGTGGAAACGTAATATTTTTCGAGCCTGCAGTTCGGCAACAGTCGGTCGTTGACTCAACTAAAAAAAGAAAAGAAAACGGACAAATGCATGTCACAAATACTGACAGTTAGGTGAATGTTTGATTGAAATTCCTTGAAGCAATATTAGATTAATTCTCGCTTCTTGCTAAAATCAACATTAAAGTATTAGTTCACTTCCAGAATAAATTTTTTCTAATAATTTACTCCAAGATGTTCATGTCTTTCTTTCTTCAGTCGAAAAAGGAATTAAGGTTTTTCAGGAAAACATTCTAGGATTTTTCTCCATATAATGGACTTCAATGGGAACCAACGGGTTGAGGGTCCAAATTGCAGTTTCAATGCAGCTTCAAAGGGCTCTACACAATCCCAGCCGAGGAATAAGGGTATTCTCTAGCGAAACTAGCTGTCATTTTCTAAAAAAAAATAAATAAAAATTGATATACTTTTTTTGTTTTTTTATTAGGATAGGACAGTATATATTGACAGGAAACAAGGTGGGAGAGAGAGAGGGGCAGGATTGGGAAAGGACAGCAAGCCAGGACTCGAACTTGGGTCACCCAAAGCGCAACAGCGCTATATGTCGGCGTGCTGCCCACGAGGCTATCGGCGCAGAAAAAAATTATATACTTTTTAACCACAAATGCTCGTCTTGCACTAGCTCGACTTCACACATTACGTAGTCACGTTGGAAAGGTCACGTGTGACGTAGGCGGAAGTACCAACCCAGTGTTTACAAAGCGAACGTGCAAAGAAAAAGTCAAACGCTCAAAGAGCTATCCACGTGTGACCTTTCCAATGTGATTACGCAATGCGTGAAGTCGTAGATGCGCATCACAGAGCTAGTGCAAGATGAGCATTTGTGGTTAAAAAGTATATACATTTTTTTAATTTTTTTTTATTATTGTTTGTTATTATAAAATTGTTTGTTTCACTACATAAGACCTATATTCCTCGACTGGGATCGTTTAGAGCCCTTTGAAGCCCATTGGCCACCATTGAAGTCCATTATATGGAGAAAAATCCTAGAATGTTTTCCTGAAAAACCTTAATTCCTTTTTCGACTGAAGAAAGAAAGACATGAACATCTTGGAGTAAATTATTAGAAAAAATTTATTCTGGAAGTGAACTAATACTTTAATGTTGATTTTAGCAAGAAGCGAGAATTAATCTAATATTGCTTCAAGGAATTTCAATCAAACATTCACCTAACTGTCAGTATTTGTGACATGCATTTGTCCGTTTTCTTTTCTTTTTTTAGTTGAGTCAACGACCGACTGTTGCCGAACTGCAGGCTCGAAAAATATTACGTTTCCACGAGTACGAACCAACGGGTTGAGGGTCCAAATTGCAGTTTCAATGCAGCTTCAAAGGGCTCTACACAATCCCAGCCGAGGAATAAGGGTATTCTCTAGCGAAACTAGCTGTCATTTTCTAAAAAAAAATAAATAAAAATTGATATACTTTTTTTGTTTTTTTATTAGGATAGGACAGTATATATTGACAGGAAACAAGGTGGGAGAGAGAGAGGGGCAGGATTGGGAAAGGACAGCAAGCCAGGACTCGAACTTGGGTCACCCAAAGCGCAACAGCGCTATATGTCGGCGTGCTGCCCACGAGGCTATCGGCGCAGAAAAAAATTATATACTTTTTAACCACAAATGCTCGTCTTGCACTAGCTCGACTTCACACATTACGTAGTCACGTTGGAAAGGTCACGTGTGACGTAGGCGGAAGTACC